ACTTGGGCCTTGTATTTGCTAGACAAGTGTTGTGTCTCAGATGTCAAAATGCCCGGTGTCAGAGGCATTTTGTGAATCTTGTCTGTTTATGACCCAGAGATAGCCGGGTTTAGAGAGTAGGAGTCAGCCCATCATCTACAAGGAGGTTAGGGGGAAATTATAATTATATAAGGTGAGGGAGGATAGCCACACGATGGCTCTCACTGCCTAAAAGCCAGTTTTGTTTTGTTTTCGCAGTGCCGAGGACTGAACTCAGGGTCTCGAGGATGGTAAACTCTCTACCCCTGAGCTTTATTTCCAGTTCTGGACTGCCTCACTTCTGACCAAATTACAAACATAAAGGGATTTCTGAAAGCACCTGAGGGCTCCGTAACTCCCTGAAAGTAAATGCAGAGCTCTTTGAAAGCTCTGGGGTGCAGAAAGGTTTCATTTCAGGGCAAGTATACAAATCAAAATTGGCCAGCACAACAAGAGTGAGATTCTGCAAGGGTCCAGGTGTCCTCAGGACGGCAGGACCTCCTGATGCAGATGACAGCCATGGGTATGGGGTATTGCCAGCCAGAGAGCGTTACATGAGTAGCGGCCTTCAGAGCTTCTTGTTGGGGTTCCAAGACTTAGTGATAGACTGAGTCCATGTCGTTCTTCAGCCCCAGCCCTGCCTCAGGAAAACTGGTTCATGCCACCTGACTGAGGAGCCTGCCAGGAGCCACCCTCAGTGTGAACACCAAGGCTGAGGAAATAAAGAATGAGATCATGAAGGATGGGTGAAAATAGAACATGCCTATCGTCCCAGCATTTGAGAAAGCTGGAGGCAGGAAGATTGGGGATTTGAGAACAGTTCAGACTGGACAGAGGTGGTGCATGAGTTAATCCCAGTGCTCAGGAGGGAGAGGCAGGTGGATGTCTGTGACTTTGAGGCCAGCCTGCTCTATAAGAGCTAGTTCCAAGACAGCCAAGGCTGTTACACAGAGAAACCCTGTCTCAATTTAAGGAAAAAAAAACAGTTTGGATTTTATAGTGAGTTTTTAAAAACTGACCTTGGCTACGTGACAGGAGAAGCAAGAGGAAGAAGAGAAGCAAAAAAGAAAAGAAAGTCTAAGACCCACATGCTTGACTACGTACATTTTATCTGCTTATGCATTACAAAGACAGTTAAATGAAAACAGCAGCTATACTGAGAGCACAGGGAGGGAGTAACGCATCCATGGTCTGTAATTCTTACAATAATCATGACAAGTGAAGTTTCTTAGAGAATGATGGAAGTGAGGCATAGTGACACAAACACCTACAATTAGGACTTCAGGGCCAGCCTGTGCTACATGGACCCCTGTCTGCAAATAAAGTGATAGAGCTGGGCATAGTGACTCACACCTGTATTTCTAGCACTCAGAAAGCTGTAGGAGAGCTTTGCAAGTCTGAGACCAGCCTTCGTTATATTTCCCAGCTACACAGATCCAAATAATCACATAGAAACTATATTAATTACAACACTGTTTGGTCGATAGCTTGGGCATATTTCTAGCTAGCTCTTATATCTTAAATTAAGCCACGTCTATTAATCTGTGTATCACAATGAGGCTGTGGCTTACCGAGTAAGGTACTCCTTTGGCAGCTACATGGCATCTCCTTGACTCTGCCTATTCTCTCTCTATATATCTCTGTTTGGATTTCCCGTCTAGCATACTCTGCTAAGCCATTGGCTGAACAGCTTTATTCTTCAACCAATAAAAGCAATACATATACAATAGGACATCCCACACCATCCCCCCTTTCTGTCTAATTAAAAAGGAAGATTTTTAACTTTAGCATAGTAAAATTACATATAACAAATTGCTGCCCCGAGTTACATTTCCCTGCCCCCATTTGAGATGCTTATCTGCAAAGAAAACATAACTTCCCTCTGCTCCTGGAGTTGGGTAAGGAAGTTTGAGTGCACGTGATCATTCCTTGATCCCTGCTGGGGTCAGGTAATAGTCCCTGCTTGGGTCAGGTGACAGTCCCTACTGGGGTCAGGTGACAGTCCCTTCGCAGCCCACTTCTCATTTGGTGCCGTGGTATAAAAGCTAGCCCCAGCAGAACAATAAAGAAGCTGTTCCACCTCAACCTTGTGCTCTGTGGATTCATTCAACCTGGACACCCTCCGCCGAGACTCATTCAGACTCGTGGTTCCAGCCCGTGCAGGCGTGGCAAAAGCAGGTATCAAACAGGAATTACAGTTACAATATTTCTTTGTGAGTCTAAAGTTTCATGTCTAATTTATCTTTTATTATAATTAAGGAAAATGGTAACTATAACTATCTGTCTTCAACTCCATCAAAGACCCCAGAAGGATATAATATTATCTAAGTAAACAGGAACTGCATTGTAAGCAACTTCCAAAACTCTAGAATTGACAGAGACATCTCACTGCCTGGACAGTCACCTAAAGTTCTTCTGTAATATTGGGGTGTATATCTTCAGCTTACAGGCCCATAGTATCCAGTAGACTTTTCCATGAAGCAGGAAATTTGAAGATCTGTTCTGCCCTGTACTGGTAAAGTTCATCAGTGACTTTTCCTGTGTCCTGCAGAATGTCTGGTGGTTTCTTTTGTGAAGCAGGAACCCTGAAGGACAGTCTCATCCTTTGGAGAGGTCAACAGTCACTTTTCTGTGGGTCCTGCATGTCCAGTTCATACAGCATACTATAAAGCAGTCCAGGCAAGAGCAGTTTCTCGCTCACATGGCTAGTCTTATCACATTGAAGGTAAATTCCATAAAAATTTCTTCAATACCTATCAACCTCTCTTAAGTAATTAGTGCTGCCAGAAGCAGACATGTCTCACTGTCAAAAAAAGTTAAGTTCTTAAAATATTTTAAATGCAATATTCTATAAGTCTTTGAAAGGTTTGAAGTATATCTCTATACATCTAGAAAACCTAACATGACTACAAGTTTGACTATTATAAACGACTATTAATCTAATTTTAATTATACATTACATTTTAAATGAGCTGCACAAACACAATACTTTAAACAAAAGGAGAAATACATATACACAGCGTTAAAAATCAACCTTAGGGGGCTGGAGAGATGGCTCAGTGGTTAAGAGTACTGCCTGCTCTTCCAAAGGTCCTGAGTTCAATTCCCAGCAACCACATGGTGGCTCACAACCATCTGTAATGAGGTCTGGTGCCCTCTTCTGGCCTTCAGGCATACACGCAGACAGAATATTGTATACATAATAAATCAATAAATATTTTTTAAAAATCAACCTTAAATTTGTATCACTAGGCCAAAGTCCATACCAATGTGAATTATTCATTTCAATATGATATCCTCCCTTTTCTGAAGAGCTTGATTGTGACTATTAACAATTTATAATCAATCTCCTTTAAATAAAAACATTTACAAACAATCATTTTGTGAATTTGGGTGTAGTTCTCTAGACTACTTCCTGCTGATTGTTGGGCAACGTATCCTTAGGATTCACAGAGACCTTTCAGGGGAATCTCATTCCATCAAACCATATTAGCCTAGAAGGAATCCACAGATGCTCATTTCCTGTGGAAACAAAAACAGAGCCTCTTTTCCAAAGTAACATATCCTTAGATTCAAATTTTGAAGTCAAGATAATTTTATGTTGGTTTAGCTTAGTAGCCCCCGGGGTCAAATGTCTCTCCACAGTCAAAAAATTAAAATAAAATGCAATAATATACATAATCCAGACTTTCTGTGTATATTCCATGTTTACGTGGCTTATTTTTTTTATTCCTTTAATCTATGACTGTCTGTACGCTTTTATATTACTTTTACTGTTCTATAACTGTCTATACTCTTTTTCCTCTCTCTTTCTCTGTCAAGCCTATGTGCATGTTTTAAACACTGTGTTTCATTTAGAGGTCTTTTATGTCTGAATCTGTCCTGTTGTGTATCTGAAATCCTTTTCTGACCAGGAATGCTTCTTAAAATGCTAAACTGGCTTGGACTAAGACTGCTTTGTCTTTTGGCCCTGTCCAGTCCAACATGGCAGAAGTACATTCACCGTCAGTTCTGTGAGCCAGGCTCACCACCCCAGCTCCAGGGATGCCCCCGGTCTATGTCACCATTAAGCCAACTAGTAGCACACTGCTCACAAATCCCATTTAAGTGCAGGACCTTCAGAAAGAGCCAGAGGCCTTTGTGCCGCTAGCACAGGCATGAACCAGCAAGTCGTCTCTTAAGGAAGTCATGCAGTTTTTGCTGCTAATGCGGAGTCAGGAAGCCTTCTTTTAAAAGGAGTCATCTCTGTTCTTTTGTGTCTAGAATTTCTTCCCAAGCTCTCTCAGATTTTATGTAGATGTAGTTGCCCCACATTGGGTGCCATTTTGTAAACAGAGATTGCTCCTTCAGTTCCCAACCGCCCAGACCTGAATAGTCACACAGAAACTCTATTAATTACAACACTCTTTGACTAATAGCTTAGGGGTATTTTAGCTAGCTCTTATATCTTAAATTAACCAATTTCTATTAATCTTTGTATCTCCATGAGTCTGTGGCTTACTGAGCAAGGTATTGGCATCTGTCTCCTTTGGCAGCTATAAGGTGTCTCCTCAACTCTGCCTATTCCATCTCTGTTCAGATTTCCCACCTGGCTTTACTCTGCTAAGTCATTGACTAATACAACTTTATTCATCAACCAAAAAAAGCAACACATATACAAAAGAACATCCCACATCAGTAAGATCCTGACTCTAAAGGTAAAGGATAATATGTAGATATGCCAGGAGTGTTGTGAGGACATACAAGTAGATCTTGGAGCCAAGACTTGTAACGAGTTGGGACAAAGAACTATGTGGATACCTGAGAAGGACTGTAGACAAGATGGGAAGGTGCCTGTCATCTTCAAGTGACAAGAAGTCAACTATGGCAAAGGGACAATTTGGGGTGAACTAACAGAGAGCAGGAGATTAACAGCAGAATTCAGAGGAGAGAGGAAATGTGATGCCGCAGGGTGATCGGTAATGAAAAGTCCCCAGACTATCTTAATACAAAATATACAGCTTTAATAAACAGAAGGAAGACTTACACCAGCTTACACCAGAATCCAAACGATCCGTCTGGACACAGGAGCTAGGCAAGAGAGCTAGCAGGAGCGCACTCGCCAGGTTTATAGGTAAACTTTAGCCTAAGGGTGACACGCCCCACAAACAGAATGTGATTGTCTGAACTCCCCTATCAGAAATGCATGTAGGGTCATATCTAACAAAGAATTCATAGCTAACAGAGGCAGGCTGAAACAAAGGGGAAATGGAGGGCACTGGGAAGAAACAGAGTCCCTCACCTCCATTGGCTGAGAATCACACAAACAAACAAGATTAGGAACCTCGTTCCCAGCCAAACACCACCCTGACTTCCTTGTCACCTGTGTATACTATGTATACTAAGGATTCCACTGAGGCTTTTAGTTGTTTAGTTGACACAAGGCTTTCCATAGACCAGGGTAGTTCTAACTTGATGTGCACCTGAGAATGACCTTGAACTCCTGATACAGAGATTACAGGCCTGCATGCTGCCTTGCCCGACTTGACCTGTGGTTTATCAACCTGTACACGTGTGCACTGTGAAGTAAGGTTCCCAGAAAAAAAATATTCATGTGTGCACTGTGAAGTAATATTCCCAGAAAAAAAAAACAAAGCCCATTATAAACCTAATGTCTAAAGGAAAACTCTTTTTCAGTAGTTTTCAGCCTTCCTAATGCTAAGACTTTTTAAGATAGTTTCTCATGTTGTAGTGACCACCCCACCCCCACCCCGCCACAAAATGATTCCTGTTGCAACTTTATAACTGTACTGTTGCTACGGTTAGGAACTGTACTGCAAACATGGTTTGGAGCTAGAGGTTTGCCAGAGGAATTGAGATGCACATGTGGAGAACCACTGGCTTAGATAATAAGTATACTAAAACATTCCCACCTAACCTCCTTTGGAATTCTTTGAACAATGTAACTTTGGAGGTCACCAAGGCGCCTCTCTCTCTCTCTCTCTCTCTCTCTCTCTCTCTCTCTGTCTCACACACAGAGTTATATGTGACTCTCTTTAGAAGTCTGCACCCACTCCAGGCATGTGCCACTGTCCATGTCTTCTGCTTCTCTCTCCCTCTCTCTTAACGTCTGTACTGACATCTCTATTAAAACTCCTTCCTTAATAAACTTCAGCTTGGATTAATATTAACTTCTCCTGAAGTCCTTTTCTAGGGCATAAGTCAACAACCTGGCTTCACCAGGAATGGTGGCCTCAGCTGCTTGGGAAGTTGAGATAGGGGACGTGCAAACTCAAGGCCTGCCTGGGCTATAAAGAATTCACCTGAGCAGAGGATGGCTAACCCATCCTAGCCACTCCTTGGCTCCTCTAAAGAGAAGTCCTCAGCTTTGCAGGTAGCCATGTGTTTCCTGCTCATGATACAGCATGAAGAAAGGATGTAGTAGAAATCAATATGAAAAATGAAAGCCATTGAACTAAGAATGAGCGCCACATATGCACTGGTGCTTCTCAAAAGAGGGAGCGGCCAATAGAGCCCTGAGAAGCTGTTCTTCATGATCACTGGGCAGCAGAGAAAGGCAGCCCACAAGGCTAGCACCATTGTGGCGCTGCAGAGGGGTGAAGGTTTCAAACACAGGCGACACCAACCCCGAAAGCGGACCCAGGATGCAGATGGCTGTGGCAATTAGCGGAAACCACTTCCATTTGTATGGAAACTAAAGTATTCACATGTTACATGCCAGCAATGTCTCTCTAAATTTACATATTCAGCAGGATGCATTTATATGTTTGCCCCCCCCCAATCTGTGTAAGGATGTTTAGAGCTGTGTTTAACGTTCACAAACTGAGACTGACCCAAGTGGCCAATAGACAGGCTTATGGTCACGCAATTGCTCTTTAGAGTAATAAACAATATAAAGACCTCACAAAATATTGAACAAATGAAAGACACAAGATTCAGTTTGTGATTCTGCATACCTAATGGTGAAAACAAACTAAACTGACCAATTCTGTGAGAAGAGAAGGAGCGACTGAAAAAGGACACCTTGGGACACCGTATCGTAGGGTCACACTTGACCCAGATTCTCGTTAAATAGGTGAGTCCAATTTAGAATAGCCACAAATCTATGTCCCGACAGTTGGCATTCATCTGTCTCCACATCAGAGAGACACCTGTAAAAGTAACCGAGAGGCACCCTGGCAATGGGTCCAGGGCTTGGATGCACTATCCCACGCTGAGCTGAGTGGGAGACACTTGCAATAAAACACAGCGTTGAGCCAAAAAAATGAAAAGGCAATGGATTTGCTCAATTCACAGACGCCATTTCTACTTGACTGGTTTCTTAAGACACAGGGTCTCACCAGGTTGCCCAGTCTAGCCATGAGCTCCAGGGCTCCAGAGATCCCCCTGCTTCAGTCTCTGAGTAGCTGGGGCAACAGGCCTTCTCTTTTGTGCTCAGCTTCACTTCAAGATGCTGAGATTGATCCAAGAGGTCCTAAAGCTCTTGGGAAGAAAGAATCTACTCCAAAAAAAACTGGGCAATTCCGATCATGCCCTCTGTGCGTATTCCACCACCAAAGTCACTTAAGGTGTCACGGTGTCACAACGCCACCGACACTGTGGCACCACTTTGAATTCCATCAGTTTAAGCTCAGCTGCTCTGAAACTCTGTAAAAGCCAAGCATGTGACACTGTCGCAAGCCTGGAACGAGGAGGACATTAGTCCTACAGGCTGTCCCTTTGAATAAGATAAACATTGGGAATCAGAACCCACATTAAAACCAAAGCTCTTTGGGACTCTGAATTAATTTTTTAAGAAGGGCTATTTGAGAACTCTACTATTGATTAGGGTCACTTTTCCTATGACGGTGGATGAAGCCATTATTTTACAACCTCAAGCACCTGTGAATCTCTGACTGGGCCTAGTTTATTGGTCCTCTTAGCTCTTCCTAGTTTTAGTCTTTTAAATTTTTCTTTTAATCAATTTTTCCTTTGAAAACTATTTTTTAATTTACTTTTCATCCGGCATTGTGTTTTATTTCCACTGTAAAGATAAATTCATCGGGTAACCTTTGGGTTCACCTCCTGAGGTGACTTGAAACAAGGGCATACTTCTCTCAGCTTTAAGCTGACTCTGGGGTGCCTTGACTCTGAGAGCCAGCAGGAAATGCAACAAGCTGCAGGGCCCCTCCGTCCTGTCTTCTGAAGAGAGACCCAAGTGAGCGGCTAGAGAGAACCTGGCGGAGGTGAAATCCAAAAAACACAGATACGCTCACAGCCAGGAACGCCCCCAGGAGTAAAGAAGCATGGCGACTCTGGTAATCCCAACAGCGTGGACTGACTAAAGTGATAGCCAGCGGGAAAACAGTCTTGTTCTGCCCGACACCTGCTAGTGGAAGGCGGGTATTTGGATACCTAGTGCTTCATGGCAGTGAAGAGAAAACAGAGGCCTGAAGCAAATTCCAGTACTTCTGACATGCAGGCTCCCACCAGGAGAGCATTGTCCTTACACATTACGGGCACACAAACCCTCTGATGCTGGCACAAACATCAAGATTGCAAACTGTGGCTTCAGCAGCAAATTTGTCCTTTATAACAAGCTGGACACTTTCTGGGGCAGCCTGGCATTCTCCTAAGGAAGTCCTGGGACTTCCATGTACTGGTAAGTGGGCTCCTGCCTTTGGACCTACAGAGCTTCAGGGGACAGCCAGAGAGGAACTGAGCAGGAGACACAACATTCGCCCTAGGTGGCTATGGTGAGAAGAACATATTAAAAAACTAACTCATTCATTCTCAGTCCTAGTTTGGAGAACACTGTGAGGGACCCATTGACATATGGGGGTCACCAAGGTGAGGAATTTAAGCAGTTTGTGGGGTCGCATCCTGTCTTCAAAGTTACAGACAGGACTTCTTAATGGACTGGAAATTCAATAAGACAATGGCCTCCTATGTCTTCTCCTGAGCTCTTTTTAACAGCTACTCTGGCACTTGAAGACGCAGCCCTCAGGTGATCTGATCAACAACAGCCCACCTCCGCCAGCCCATTAGGTACGACTTTGACTGCTAACCTCAAGGGGGTATGGTTTCAGCAGCCTGCCTTCCGGCTTTCATTGTTCCTCTTAGAATCCTCAGAGAGACAGCATAGATCCCGAGGATGAAGAAATGGTGCGGAGGACAGCAGCATGACTCTCCCCACCAGCTGCAAGTCAGCGGGACAGAAACAAGCCACCCTTCCCTCCCATCATCTCCCACCATCCTCTACGAACCACGGCCGGCTCTTCTACCACACACATTACAACAGAAACCCCCACTTATGGGACAGCCAGCCTCGACAAAGCATTCGTTCAGATTAGCATAGCGGTGGGGTCTTCCTGCCCGGCACAGCTACAGCCCTCCCGGGGGTGGCCTCTCCCTCCACCCAGAAGGAAGCACAAGTGTCAGAGTTCCAGACAAACCAGCTTCCAAGAGGTATGTCCAAAAGGAAACCCATCTGCATGAGGCAGCACAGACCTGTGCTGGCTAGTGAGTCTGCCCAAGGACCTGGCTACAGCCTCATCATGTAACAACTGGCCAAGACCACCAGGGGCCCAATCTTAGCTTCTTTAGGAAGTTCAGCTTCAACTGCACAGGAAGAAATCACCGTTTCAAGGTTTCCACGAGAAATCTGAAGGCAAACGGAAATGACTCAGGTGCTTACAGGATTTTCGGTAGAGAGGACACGGAGCTCTAGTGACCTGATGGCCTCTTTCTTGGCCCCTGCAGCTGGCTGGTGCTGAGAGCACCCTGCATGACAAGCTCCAAGCTGCCTAACCTACGGGGTCTCTGGACTTTCTGAATTGAATCTCCATGGCCTGGAGGCGTGAACATCTCCTGGTCAAACACAGTCACACTGCAGCCTTCCCTCACCTGCTGGACTCAGTGTTCGATCGGACTCTGTGGGAAAGAGAGAAGATACTGTAAAATAAGACCCCAGCAGGAGACAGCAAGACTGGCGCAAACAAGATGTGGGTGTAGGTCTTGCCAGGAGCCCCAGCAGCACCTGCCTGACAGGTACTGAGGTGGGCTGGGAACAGGAAGACCTGCTGAAGGGCCCTCTGGATGCTCTGAGCAGTGGAAGCCAAGGCCTCTTTCTTCCTGTGTGCTCTTTTGGGAGTGGAGACAGCACATGTCTCTCTTGGACCAGAGCTGCTCAGCTTTCTGCGTTTGAGAAGAGCCAGCATCTGAAGCACTAGGCTACCTGTTACTTTTCCATGCTGGTTGGCATTAGGCGGGCACCAGCAAGTCCACAGAATGTCTTCTTCCCCAACCACACTTTAATCCTAGCCATATCGCTTAGCAAATTAAAGACTCGTATGGTCAGAAAAAGAAAGATAAACAGTGAACATGGATTCAGGCGAAGAAAACCTCTAAATGGTTTACAGTGTGTTTAAAAATATATGTAGGCTTGGGAGAGAAAAGAAAAAGGATAAAGTCCTGTGGGAGATGACTTAGTCTCCCTGGATCAGTTCCTGTGGGAGACTTACTGCTCCCTGGATCAATTTCGCCCACCTTGTTGCACTTGGCTTCTCCTGCTGTTGTGATATGTCAAATAGTAACTCTGCAAGGAGTTATTGCTCCATTGTTTCCGTGTTCTGAACATTCTGACTTTTCCACATGTTGCAGTTAGGAACTTTCCACCTGACCATTAGACCAGGGTTAGGTTGCCTAGTAAGTTGCCTAGTTACCCATATACACAAGGAGAATTTCCTCCTTTCCCTTACCCTATATTTACCTGAATCAGTTCCTTGAATATATGAGACTTGATCAGAATCCTGTCTTGTCTCCATCTCTTGTGTCTCTTGTCCCATCCCATTCTCACTATCCCTTCCTGGGTCTCCGTTGACTTACCCGCGGACTGGGGCAAAATCCTTAAAAAGAGAGAGAGAGAGAAGTTTGGTGTGGTGGTACACACCTTTAATCCCAGCACTCAGGAGGCAGAGGCAGGCAGATCTCTGAGTTCAAGGACAGCCTGGTCTACAGAGTGAGTTCCAGGATAGCAAAAGATACACAGAGAAACCCTGTCTCAAAAAACCAAAAATTAAAATAAAAATAAAAGAAATAGAGTTTAAAATAAAGCCATGTAGAGATGAAAAATACATGAAGAATCTGGATACTGTATGTTATTGTGTTGTCTTTGAATTGTTTGATGGCTGCAGAAGGAGCAACAGCTGCTAAAAGACATTTGATTATAAGTGCTGTTAGAGTAATCCAATATGTGTATTTTGAAAATGCCTTGACTTCAAATTTTAAGTCAAAAGATATGTTACTTTGGAGAAGAGGTTTTGCTTTTGTTTCCACAGGAAATGAGAGGCTGTGGATTCATTCTGGGTTAAGAAAAAACAGGTTTGACCAAGAAAGACTCCCTTAAAAATCTCCAATAGGAGCGGACAGCCTAGATGATCCAACATTTCAGAGGATCTCTGTTGGAGTTTCCTCTGAGTTCTACATTCAGAATGGCCTCAAGAGTGCTGGCTGAGATGATCAAGCCTCACAGAATATTTTAGTCAGGACTTGATTATAATTATTAGGTCCCCATAAGATTATTAGTGCCCCCAATCAGTAGGAAGTAGCCTATATAACAGCCCACATTTGTTTAACTCTGTGAAGCTGTGATTCTTTGCCTGTCTAAAACACCTGAAGGTCTCTAATAAAGAACTGACCGGCCAACAGCAAGGCAGGAGAAAGGATAGGCAGAGCTGGCAGGCAGAGAGAATAAATAGAAGGAGAAATATGGAAGAAGAGGAGGAGCAAGAGAGAACAAGGAGAGGAGGATGTCAGAATAAGAGAGAAAGTAAGACATATAGAAATAAGAGAGAGGTAAAAGCCCAGAGGCCAAAGCTAGATGGGATGATTTAAGAAAAGCTGGGTAGAAATATGTCAAGCTAAGGTCAGGTGTTTATAAATAATAATAAATCTCTCCATGTGTGATTTATTTGGGAGCAGATGGGGGACCCCAAGAAGAGTCCAAAATCCTAAAGAATAAAACAACAACAATATATACTTACTCAAATACACACAATTATTTATAACTTGAGAGAAAGAAAGAGAGAAAGAGAGAGAGAACGACTAAGTGAGCAAGACACAAGGGTATATTGTTCCTCAGCTGAGTTCTTAAAAGCTCTAGAGTTGGAGAGATGGTTCAGTGGTTAAGAGCACTGGCTGCTCTTCCAGAAGACCCGTGTTCAATTCCCGGGACCCACAAGACACCTCACAACTGTCTATAAGTCCAGTTCTAGGGGATCTGACACCTTCACACCAATGCACATAAAATAAAGGTTAAAAAAAAGCATTTGGGCAGTGGTGGCACATGCCTTTAATCCCAGCACTCGGGAGGCAGAGGCAGGTGGAGCTCTGTGAGTTTAAGGCCAACCTTGGTCTACAAGAGCTAGTTCCAGAACAGCTAGATAAACCTTGTCTCAAAAAAACAAAACAAAACAAAACAAAAAACCCCAAAAACAAAACAAAACAAAAATAACTCTGAACAGCAGGATGGGGAGAGAGTTCAGTCAGCAAATTGAGGACTCAAGTTTGACCCTCCCCCACCCCATGCACATAAAGTCAGGCCTGGTCGCACATACTTGTAAACCCAGTGCTGGAGTTCAGGCAGAGGCATGAACAGGTCAGGGGATAGAACAAGGACTCACAAGTGTGATTTAAATTGCACTGAAGACCTTTGGAGGTGTACTCTCAGGAGTGACGACTCCGCAAAGCTCTGGACTTCAGGGTCTCGGTCACCCCTGCAGGCGGCGAGGCTGTCCTGAAAGTAAAGGAACCGGAAGAGTCGAGGTAGGAGGAGCCAGACCCCGGACCCTTGTATAGGCTTGGCATACTAGATGGTAGCAGGTAATTTACCTTTACCTTTTTCTGATTTCTGGTAGAAGTTCAAATCACAATTCCTTTCTGGGTGGCAGTTTAGTAACGTATCAGAATCCTTAACCGTGGTGGTTGGGGCGCGCGGGACACCCGGCTTCGTGGTTGTCCCGAGCTTCTCTGACCTCGGCTCCAACTCCAGGGGAGTCTGGGTCAACCAAGAGTTTGCCGGAGCTGCAGGAGGTGGTGGAGCATAGAAAATGTTTGTACGAAGAAAAGGTCTACTGAAAATAGAAAAACGATATTAGATGCTATGGCCAAAGTGCAAGCGCTCTTGCCAAGTGTGAGGAGTTTAGCGGAACAGCAAGCAATAGTTTTGTGAGGTTCGTGACAAAACTGTGAAAAGCAAAAGTGATGGAGGGCTTTGAGTCTCACTGGACACGTGACCCTTCATTGCTCATTCCCGTCTGCTGTTCTGTGAATCTAGTACCTCTTGTTAACCAGCCTCAGAGGCCGAAGATATCCATCTGCCTCTCAGAGGATGCTTGCTTTCAGGATAGGGCTTGACGGGAGCAAGATCCCAGCTTCCAGCCACAGAGCCCGCTGGTGCAAGGAAAATGATCAGGGTCAAAGAGGAGCACGACACAAAACAGTTGTAGTCTATTATCCACAAGGATGTAGCAGTCATTAAGACGTTCAAGCTGAACAGCAGGGAGTCAGAATATCTGGGAGAACAGAAAATCCATTTGCAAAACACAAAAAGGACGAGGCCATTGGAGCTGGGTATTCTAGCACCCGCCTAACAGTGACTGACCGATCAAATAGCAAATGTACAATGCCAGGCGCAAACCAGTCAGCATCATTAGTCCCAATCTGTTGGCATTTATCTGGCAGCCATCTGACAAGTGCAGGTGCACCGTTATTCGCAAACTCAGATAAAACCTTCACTGAAGTCACGTTAAAGACAGAAAAGCACCCTTGAACAAGTTTACAAATGAAAGTCCTACAAAATAGGCCTCAGCACCTGGCATGGGGGTATACGCCTCTCATGGGAGCACTCAGGAGGCAGCACCTGGCATGGGGGTATATGCCTCTCATGGGAGCACTCAGGAGGCAGCACCTGGCATGGGGGTATATGCCTCTCATGGGAGCACTCAGGAGGCAGCACCTGGCATGGGGGTATACGCCTCTCGTGGGAGCACTCAGGAGGCAGAGCCACCAGGATGCGGAGCCGGAAGTCAGCTTGGGCTATTAGCAAGACCCTGTCTGAAAGCAAACAGATGTATGCTCAGTGAAATTAAACCAGGCGTGATGGAAACACAGCCAGGAAGCCTCCAAATATTTGACAGTCGCACCCTATACTTCTAAACTGGTGGTACTTGTCTTCAGACCCAGCTAGTTGCAAGCAGAGGCAGGAGGATTTGTTTGAGTCCACAAGTTCAAGATCATCTTAGGCTCACCATCTCAAAGCCACAAAAGCCAAAGAAACAACAATGAAAACCCCAATATATTTCTACATAGCTCATGGGTCAAAGAAATCTCAAAAGAAATCCAAATATTTTAAACTGAGCCAAGATGTGGTTTGTTGAAACTTGTGTAGGACGACAGAAGCAGGAGGGGATCTGCAACACTGAATAGCCTTCCAAAAAAGAAGGCATTGAGCCCAAGTCATTTTCTGGGGAAAGTCTAACATAGAAGTATGGAAGACATAGTCTCACTTCTCTTCTTAGAAGCTGTAGGAACATACTTAATCTGTGTGCTTGCAATGTTAGTGAAATCTAACTTTGGGGTGTTTGTGTTAATCCCCAATCTTAACGCTATTACAGTTGATTAGGATGGAAGGGATTCTCCTTTTTTTTACTGGAATCAGACCTATAAAAATGGGCTGGGAATGTGGCTGTGTGGGTAGAGTGCTTGCTTACCATGCAAAAAGTCATGGGTTCAATCCCCAGCACTATGTAACCAAGACAGGATAGCAAGTACCTGAAACTCAACCAGGAAGGCCAGAAGTTCAAGGTCATCCTTGGCTACAAAGTGAGTTCTAGGTCAGCTACTCTGCATGAGCCCCTACCTCAAAAAGGGATTTCACAGCACTGTGGAAATCAATATGGAGGTTTTTCCAAAAAAAAAAAAAAACAAAATTAGACCTAGCATACAACCCAGCTATACATATCATTTCTGGGCATATAGCCAAAGGAGTCCATATTCTACCACAGAGACACTTGGATACTCATGGTCACTGCTGCTCTATTCACAATAGCAAGTAAATGGAACCAGTCTAGATGTCCAGCATCAGAGTAGAGGATAACAAAAATTTGGCGGGTATACACAAGGGGATTTTATTCAACTATAAAGAAAAATGAAGCCATAAAATTTGGAGGGAAATAGATGGAATTGAAAAATATTTATTTTTATTATATGTATTTACTCATCTTGAGAAGAGCAGGTGTGCAGGTAAGCGGACAACTTTTGGGAGTCAGTTCTCTCCTTCCACCATGTGAGTCTTGGACATCAAACTCATGGGGATCAAACTTGTCAGGCTTGACAGCGAACCCTGAAAATATACTAAGGGGATAACCCAGGTGCAGACAGAAACACTGCATGTCTCTTTCATATGTGTATCCTTTTTTTTTTTTGCTGTTTTTAGAGACAGACTTTTTCTAGAAAACATTTTTTATTTAACTTTATTATATGTGCATTGGTGTGAAGGCATCAGATTGGCTGGAACTGGAGTTACAGACAGTTGTGAGCTGTCATGTGGGTGCTGGGAATTGAGCCTGAGTCCTCTGGAAGAACAGCCAGTTCGCTTAATTGCTGAGCCATTTTTCCAGTCCCTAGAGACGGGGCTTTTATGTGGCCCTGACTGTTCCAGAACTGACTCTGTAGACAAGGCTGGCCTCAAACTCAGAGATCCACCTGTCTCTGCCTCCTGAGGGCTGGGATTAAAAGTGTGCACTACCACCACCTGGCCCATACATGTATCCTGACTTGTGATTTATGTGTGTGTGTGTGTGTTGTGTGTGTGTGGTGTGTGTGTGTGTGTGTGTGTGTGTGTGTATTTTGAGGAAGTGAGTGTGAGTAGAGACTAGAAAGGGGCCCGCGAGAGAAGAAAAAGGCTTAAAAGGAGGGGGTGGGAAGTTAATAGAATACATGTGATATGAAAGTAAAAGCTGGGATCCCTGGGATGGAAGATGCCAGTACTCGAGGTGTGTCATAGCCACACGTTGGGGCAACATCTCTTGGGGTCCAGCCTCAACCGGGTTCACACGTTTCTGGGTAGGGGCATGTGGATTAGAAAAATTAGGAGGATCAGAGATATGAAAGAAATACAGAAATATTAGAACCAGGAGGGCTATGCAGTGAATACTGAATACATCGTATTTGTTTTCCATATGCTTATATGCCCCAATCCAAAAAATGGCAGAAGGCAAAAGACTGCTTTAACATAACACAAAGGACAAACAGAACAATTTCTTGCTTCAATATTTGAAATATCAAGCAACTAAAGCCTTAGTTAAGTATTTTGTTGTTTAGACAGGACATGTAACAACCATACCTTAGACCAAACATTCTGTAGGCAGCCACTCCCTGGGTCAACCCTCCTGTCATATCCTTGAAGGAGTAGGAATAGGCTTGAATTCTGATCTTTGGTTGAGGTGGAGCAGAGCCACCTCTATGGACCATCTTAATGTCCAAAACACCAAGTAACCCAAGTAAACACCCTCGGTTAGGATGTCTTGTATGTAGCCACTTCTTAAGTCAGACTTGTCAATAACTTTGAAAGAGCAAGAGCAGGCTTAAGCTCTCTGACCTTCAGTCAAGGTGGAGCAGACCCACTTCTATGGGCACCCATGGAGCTAGGCTGGGTACTGTGCTCAGTGGAAGAAGACATGCTTACTGTGTGAATCCTTGGGTTCGGTGCCAGCACCAGAGGGAAACAGAGGGAGCGCACTGATACGCTGGAGGGGAGGGGGAGAGGTCAGAGCTGGAGAGGTGGTTCAGCTGTCAGGAGCACTTATGCTTCTTTCAGAGGCCCCGGATGTGTGTCCCAGCATCTACACAGTGTCTCCCAACTCTAATTCCAGTTCCCAGGATCTGTCACCACTACATGCATGTGTGCACATACACATGCAGGCAAAGGCTAGTACACATACAATAAATCTGTAGAAATTTTAAATTAGGGTAAACTCATTAATAAAAAGTAAGAAACCCCTTGAAAACCTCTAGACAAAAAAGCCACATGGTGAGTCAGTCATGGGGTCACAGCATGTGAGAGGTAAATGAGGAAGATCAGATCTAGGCTAGTTCAGGTAGGCTTCACGGGGGTGGGGAGAAGGCAGAGATTTTAGAGAGTTGTCTGGTGGCAGCATGGAGAGGGCAGAGTCAGGGGAAGTGTATGAAGCCTGGCAGTAATACAGAGCCCAAGCGGAAGAAGCTGACAGTCAGGAGAGGAGGAGGTAAGGATATGGAGTAGGTAAGATGGGAAAGGGACTGGAAACTGCGACCTGATGACACTCAGTTTTCAAGTAAGCGTCTGGGAAGATCCTGTGTGCTGGGATGACATCATGCACTCACTAAGCCCAGAAGAGGCTGGTCTTAGTGTAGATGTCTCACTGTCCTCGGCTGTCTGGCCACAGCAATGGTCTGTGAGACTTGACCTGGTTCCTACCCTGAAGAATCACAGGCCGGGATACTGTAGAATAAGGGAGCAGCCTAGGGGCTTTTGTTTATTTGCTCTGAATAGTTCTGATTAATGAGAAATTCACCCTACAGTCAAGGGGATACATCAAACTACATTTCTGTCCCTGGGACACACTTGGTGGAAGGAGAACCAATTCCCACAAGTTGTCCTCCCCAACACGAACAAATAAAGTTTTAAAAAATAAATGGCCAGATGTGGCGGTGCACACCTTTAATCCCAGGACCTGGGAGGCAAAAGCAGGCAGAGTTCTGTGTGTGTAAGGCCAGCCTGGTCTATAAACAGCCAGGACTACACAATGAGATCCTATCTCAAAATAAACAGATATTCTTGCACTCCGCCAACACAAATTTCTATACTGAAGCTAATAATGCACCAGTTGTGGTGTTAATATTTGTTAATATTTGATAACGCACTGAATTGAAAATCAAGGTCCAAAGGTTAGAAACTCAGCTTTCATTCCCAAATGAAAACAAAGCAGAATAAAAGGAGCCACCTGAAGGTGGCAGCAACAGTTGAAGCAAACACCCAGGAGGAAGAGGAAGATGACTGGAGCTGTCAGGAGGGAAACAGTCAGCAGACACTGCTGCCCTGTAGAGGTCTACACAGTGTAGTGGGTGTCGGAAAGCC